GGGGGGCGCTACGGGGGGCACTACTGTCCAAGCGGGGGGCAGAGACGCGCGACTGCCGCTTCTGCGGTGTCGTTGCTGGAAGAGCACAGAGAGAAAGGCGAAGCTGAAGCTCGGACGCTTTCTCTGTCTCTCTTCTCTACGTGTGGTCCACGCTCTCTCTCTCTCTCTCTCGCTCCCTCTCGCTCCCTCTCTCTCACCGCCAGCCCCACGTGGCCCGCGCGCCGATGTCGTCGGAGTGGTGCACCCGGGCGGGCGGGGTCCGACTCAACGCCGCCGCCGCGCGCCGCGTGTGGTTTGGTTTGTGTGGTGGTATATCGTCCCGGCGGCGAGTGTGGAAACACACATCTCCATATGGCCCAGCTGAGCGCGGCGGCGCGGCGCCCCGCGGGGGCGGGGCGGTCTGCCTCTGGAGGTGGGGCGCGGCGGGGCGGGGCGGGGCGGGGTGGCCACATGGCTGCCCGTGCCGCTACTGATCTGGTATGCCATAATGGATTGCAAGGTCGTGGTCGGGACGTGACGTATGGCGGCCTGGTACCTCCTTTACCTGCGCTCCGCCGTATCTTGTGACCATAACGACCACCCGAGCGTAAGCGGCAACGTCCTGGTGCAGCCAGCAGCAGTGCTGGACCGGCGGAGCTGAAGCTGAGCTGACACGCGGTGGCCGGCGGCGGCCGGGCCTTCTCCAACAACATGACCGGCCACAACTCGGCCGCCAACGCCGCGCCGCGCCGCGCCACGCCGCGCCCCGGGGGAAGTGGGGCACGAGGGTCACACGATGGCGTGGCGCGGGGCACGGCGGCGCGGCGTGACACGGGACAGATGTCCCCTCATCGCCCATGCTCCTCCCCGCCTCTCACTGCTGTCTCCCCGTGCCTCTCCCCTGCCTCTCCCCTGCCTCTCCCCTGCCTCCCCCCTGCCTCTCCCCTGCCTCTTTCCCCCTTTCTCTCCCACTTCCCCCTTATATGCCCACCGCGATCCCTCTCTCCCTATGGAGAACTTCCTTCCGCTCGGCAGCCCAGCCGCCGCCGCGCCCCCCCGCGTCGCCGCGCGCTCCCCGCCGTGCTTTGTAGGTCAGTGAGGGTAACGGGGTGTGCACCTACCCCCTACCCCTACCCCTCGCCCGTCATCGCCCCCCCTCCCCTCTTCCCCCCTTTCTGCGGGGCCTGTGTGCACCAGGCAACGCTTTGGGAGATCCTGTGGACCGACCACTTACTACTACACGTGGTCTTTGTTGGGCGATTTTGCCTTTGCACGTGTCGTATGGCCGTGTGGGTGTTGCAGTGGTTTGGGGGTGGGGAGGGGGTGGGGGGAGTGGAGGCAGGGGAGCCCCATCACGACCTCACCGCCGCGCGCCCGTGCGTGCAAAAACGGAAACCGTTCGTTACTGTACTGAAAACGCATCTAGCTTGCCCTTGCTCGCTCCCTCCCCCCCCCCCCCCCCCACTCGGCCGTCAACGTTGCACTTGCTCTATTATTCAGAAAGAGCTAAAGTGCCATCGTGGTCCCCGAGCGGAGCCCTGTCCTGTGCTGCTCTTTCTGTGTCGTTGCCTCCTCACTGTCGACTGTAGGGCGCCTGTGGGGTTGGCAATCGCGGGCGCGGGCGTAGGCGTGTTGCCTACCTCACAGGCTGCGGATCCTCGTCTCGTTTCGTCTCTTCTAACGTATATCTGTTTGACCTTGTTCCAGGGCCTTCTCCCGTTTCCTTCGCGTGCAATGGATGATGCACGGCCACGCCAAACGGAACGTCACGGTCGCAGAAATCTTCCAGGAGATGGCCGCCAAGTATCCGGATAAGGTGTGCTTGAAGTGTGAGGAGTCGGAGATGACATTTTCGCAGGTGGGTTTCGTTCTCATCAATACAACTAAGCTGTTTTAATTTTCCTTTTAATTGGCTTGAATGTGTTTCATTACTTATACATATAATTTTTTAAGTATATATTTTAATATTTCAGGTTGAAGAGTACTCAAATAAGGTTGCTAGTGTCTTTATGGAACATGGATACCGCAAGGGGGACGTGATTGCCCTGTTCATGGACAACAGGCCAGAGTTTGTTTGTCTTTGGCTAGGCTTAGCCAAGATTGGCGTTGTTGTGCCCCTGATTAACTACAACCTGAGGCTCAACTCCCTGCTTCATTCCATCACAGTCGCTGACACGCAAGCTGTTATCTACTGCAGTGACTTTGCAGATGGTAAGGAATTGACAATGATATTCGAGTTGTGCTAATAAGGGATAGTGTTTGATAATAATATTCTTTGAATTAACAATGTTTTTCAGCCATTAAAGATATTGCAAAACAGCTGCCCTCCAAAGTGGCCTTGTACAGCTGGAGCAGTACACCCAACAACTTCTCGCATGGTCTTGGCGAGAAAAATTTGACTGCCCTTCTTCAAAATGCACCAACCACACCTCCTGTTGTTCCGGAGAAACCAGATTTCAATGATCGCCTGGTGTACATTTATACTTCAGGAACAACTGGGTTGCCAAAGGCTGCTGTCATCACTAATGCAAAGTGAGTTATCAGATGTTGCCATTGAAAATTGTTTGAATTTAGTTGTTGTTGCCACTTACTACTTGATACTACTGTTTCCTCCTCTTTTTCATAGGTACATTTTCATCACCTCAGCTATTCGAAAACTAGCTGACTTCCGGGACAGTGACAGGTTTTATTGTCCTTTGCCACTTTACCACACTGCTGGTGGTTGTATGAGTGTGGGTCAGTCTATACTGTTTGGAAGCACCCTGGTTATACGAAAGAAATTTTCTGCATCTGCTTACTTCTCTGATTGCCAGAAATTCGAGTGCACTGTATGTGTCTTTCAGTTCTCAGAGAAGTTTTATGTGTCACACTTAAGAAAATACTACTTACCCTATCCATTATCATTGTACAGGTTGCTCAGTATATTGGTGAAATGTGCCGATATATTCTTTCCACACCGCCCAAACCCGAGGATACTCAACACAAAATTCGTTTGATGTTTGGAAATGGATTGCGCCCTCAAATTTGGAAAGAATTTGTTGACCGTTTTAATATTCCAGCTGTCGCTGAGTTTTATGGAGCAACTGAGGGAAATGCCAATATTGGTGAGATGAACTTTTGTGCAGTTGTGCCCCCCGCCCCCCTTCTATTTACTGAATGCATGAAATAATTTCTTTTCTTCTGCAGTGAACATTGACAATACAGTTGGTGCAATTGGATTCGTCTCCCGTATCCTTCCTGCCGTTTATCCAATTTCGATTATCAAAGTGGATCCGTTTTCTGGGGAGCCTATACGTGACAAAAATGGATTGTGTATGCCATGTGAGCCAGATGAACCTGGTGTTTTTATTGGCAAAATTACTAGTAACCCATCAAGAGCTTTCCTTGGATATGTCAACAAAAAGGATTCTGAAAAGAAAGTGGTGCATGATGTTTTCTCAAAAGGAGACATGGCATTTTTATCAGGTATGTGATAAGAAATGTGACACCTCTCTTTCCAAACTTCAAAACTAGTGTTTTCTCATTTCTTTACTTTTTTTTTTTTAAACAAATTTTCAGGCGATTTGCTGGTTGCTGATGAGTTTGGATATCTGTATTTCAGAGATAGGACTGGAGATACTTTCAGGTAGTTTTTTATTTCTTCTACTGAGTCATTACATGGTGTGAATTGATTGGTAAAAAGTTAAATTTTGCTTTTAGGTGGAAGGGAGAAAATGTGTCTACATCAGAAGTTGAGGCTGTTGTCAGCAATGCTGCTGGTTATCGTGATGCAGTGGTTTATGGTGTTGAGGTCATTATCTGTTCCATTTCCCCATTTTATCGCCCTGTATCTGCCTTACTTATTATGCATCTGTTTTGTGTCTGAAAATGTAGGTTCCTGGGAACGAAGGACGAGCTGGGATGGCAGCTATTCTTGATCAGGAAGATAACCTAGACCTGGCAGCTATTTCTGAAGGTGTCCGTAAAGCTTTGCCAGCCTATGCAAGACCCCAATTTATCCGAGCTCTCCGTCAAGTCGAAATGACAGGTTTGTTATCTTTCCTTTTTAAATTACCAAGTGTGGTCTAGAATTAAAACATGGTTTTACATGAATTTTGTTTGTATTCAGGAACTTTTAAATTAAAGAAGAAAGATCTACAAACTGAAGGCTTTAACCCATCTTTATTGAAGGATAAAGTTTACTACTTTAGCTCTAAAGGAGAATACCAACTTCTAACTGAAGCTGCTTACCAAGACATCATTGCAGGGAAGATAAGATTTTAAGGCATAAAAAGAACTCTTACAAGTACAAAATGACAAGAATTGAAGACTTTAAAAAAAAAGGGTATATTTTAATTTCAACAATTATATATTTCTCATGGAAATATGAGATCCGTCTAAGTTGATGTAAGAGAGCACAGTACTTCAGTTGCAGTGCCCTTTTTAACTAGTTATATTTTCGTTGTAGGATGTTTTTCTTATTTTTTTAAAAAAATGAAGCACTTTTGTGTTAAACAACGAATTAAAATTTCCACACGACCCAAAAGACAGAACTAATTATGGAGCGGTTTAAAATTAACCGCAAGAGGCTTTTAAATGTTGTTTCATTTTGTTTTTGTATTTTGTAAATACATGAAAATGGTGATAAACTTTTTTTTAGGTTTAGGTGTAGTTGTAAACATTGACTGTTAAAATACATTTACACCAGCTTCCTAGACAATGAAAATCTAAGATGTTTGTGTTTTTTGCTAAGCTTTAGCAACGGCATTGTGCGTTATGAGAGCCCTGCAGAATTGGGCTCAAAGTTTGTTTTCCTTGTAAGACGTACTGCTCAGAATGCTTTGTCAGTATTGTTTGAAAACTACTTAAAATATTGGTCAAATGGATCGCTGAACAGGTTCCAAACAACCTTATTAATATGTAAGCTTATGCTGCTCAAATCAAAATTTCACATACTGTAGATCTGCCATTGTTTTATGATTTTTAAGAGGTCATGTAAATTGAGCTGAGACTGCAAGTGCAATGTATGTTGATGCTTACTCCTTGTTTTTATTTTCTAAAGTGGCCTTACTGTTTCCAAGTAGGTATCTGTTTTTGTTATAGAGCTTCCATTTTCTGTTATTTAAAGGCTACTGACAAGTTTGACATCAAAGCTAGAAAAGCTTTTTAGAAGTTAACTACAATTTCGTATAAACTAAGGTCACCCAAAATATAAGAAGCACCATGCAGTATTTAAAACCAATTTTTAAAAAAATATTTTATTCAAAGATGATGTTACATATTTTTGTGTATCACATTTCTAAAAATATTGTAATAATCTGTAACAATGAAATGGTGCCTTTGGTACAGCACACGGTATGTTAATTATTACACTTTAGTTAGATTTTGGTGTTCAATCGTTCCTTTTGTTTTGTCAGAAGCTGAAAATTGTTCTGCAGGCAGGGCACTTTTAATGGTAATTGGAGATGTGTTTTGTATGTTTCTTTTGCTATTCCAGTAAATGTTATTTTTCTTGACTGAGGACAAAAATGCCAAAAGTACACCTTCCATATAGGTGTGTATGTAATCTATTCACTGTTACAAGCTAACTGTGATAAACACCATGTTATTTTCCTTTCAATGTTTTGTTAAACAAGGTGACAAATTTCTTTCACCCTTCCATATTTTTGTATTTATCTCTTTGCTGTTTTAATTTGTTTCCATTTATTGGAAGGTGTTGACATGTTTTGTTGTGATTCCGTTGTTTATTGAGGCTTTAATTTTTTTGAGGCCCAATATTTCTGAAAATGACGAATTGTTCTTTCTTGTGATGAGTGTGACTGGATTTTAATCTTGCTAACGAGTAACCATCGTATTGTACATAGTTAAATCTTACAAAAATAATTATAATTTATACCGAAATCTTATCGAGTGTATGTTTTCCAGTTTTTCCCGCCTCAATCAATAATGTTTCGGGTGGTTGGTCAAGTCAAGTGCGCAAAATCACACCTCTGGGGCGCTGTAGGTGTAGGTGTTGGTGTTTGCTCATTTAGGTGTGCAACATTACGCAACCCCGCCAGAAGCACACACCATTGTTGAGAAGATCGAGGACCTCAAGGACGGCGGAGAGGGAGGAGCAGTAAGGGTGGGAGGAGGGAGGCGAGGGCCGACGGGAGGGTCGTGGCGGTGGCGGTGTCGTCGCTCCCTCTGGGGTGGGGCCGGGCCGACGCGGTGGTGGGCGCGGGCGTCGCGGCGGCGCGCTGCCAACCTCGCGGCAGGGCGTTGCCGCCTTGTTGTGGTGCGCGCGGCGGAAGTGACCCGGGTGACCCGCGCACATCGCGTACATCTTTGGTAACGAGGTCAAACGAGGCTCCTAACTCGGGCGTTTACACCATTATTTGGAGCGCGATTATCTTTCTTTTTCGTTTGCGGCCGAAAGCCCATGTGGTGGAGCCCTGATACAAAGTTCAAGCGTTGGTCACGCCACCGCCCAGCCGAGGGCGCGTCCGAGGCGGCTCGCGCGCCACCCCTCCCGCGCCCTGGCTCGGGACGTCCGCGTCTCGGACGCGCCCCACAGCCCAGCCCACTGTTGGGAGGGGGAGGGGCGTCGGCTGCGTCCGCGAGCGCGGCCCGCGGCGGGGCGGGGCGGCGGCGCGCGGCGGGCACGGCGGCGGCGCCGCTCCGGACGCGGCCCAGCGACGCCCGCCTCCAGCTGAGCGAGTGTGGAGAGGCCGCCGGGGAGGGGGCGGGGGGTGGGCCGCCGGGAGCGCGCGCGCGCGGGGGGGTTCGCGCTCGGGCTGGGTCGGGACGGTCGGGACGGCGGGGAACAGTTGTCAATAGACAGTTCGCGGGCGCGGAGCTTGGCGGGCGGAAGGGACGCGACCTCCGCGTGCAGCAGCAGCGGCGCGCGAACAAAGGCTCCGACCGACCCGGACCCGCGCAGCCTCCCCGTCACTGTCATCTCCGCCGCAAGAGCAGGCACCTCGCCGTCGTCGACGCGCCCAGGAGGGTCGCACAACACGGGCGCCTCGCGCGCACTCGCCATGGAGCTGGAGCACCGGCTCGTGTTCCTGGCCGTCGCCATGCTGGCCGTCAACTACCTCACGGGGTGGTTCACCGCCGTGCTCCCGATGTCCTCGCAGATTGCCGTCGCCGTCATCGCGGTGGTCGCCGTGCGCCACCGGCGACGCCTCCTCGTCATCCTGCGGACGCTGCCCCGCGACCTCACGTGAGTAGTAGTCCTCGCACACGTGGTGTACCTGCAGCTGCTTCGTCGCGGGTGGCGCGACGAGCACCCCGCTGCACCCACGACTCCGCACTTCCCCTGCTCCGACCATCTCCATCCATGCCAACCGCCGTGCCATCACTGACCTTTGTTCATTCAACTCGGAGCCTGTTGCTTCAATGCACGATCATAGACCACCATGTATATTTAGTGGTTACACGTACCGCGAGTCGAGCCATCCTAGCTGCGTCTTATCTGGGCTGCCGAGGGGGGGGGGGGGGGAGGAGGAAGTCCTGCTTTATCTCCTATCCTCGGGCTCGGGCGCCGTGTCCTGTCCCTGGCTTTGGCTTTGGTCGCTACAGCAGCAGCAGCAGTGGAAGTGAAGTGGATCAGGGAGGTTCTGGAGAGGAAGTAGGGACACGGGGTGACGGTGACCGGGCCTGGGTGACGGTGACACCAGTGTGACACGGCGGTGATCTCACAGCCGTTGTCACTGTTCGGGGTCCTCTCTATAGACATCACTACATACATCACTGCACAGCATTATACACATCATCTGGCCCACGTGGCCCAATGCAGTAGGCTGCGCCAACGGTCGTCCTCCTCACATCTGACTGCTAAACACAAAAGCTCGGACTCGGAAGGGGAGGGGGGGGGGGGAATGCACCCGTCGGGTTGGACACAACGACCTCTACGTCACAAATGTCCTTAGAGATGTCTACAATAAAATTAGGTTATTTTAAAACGAGAGCAGCTGAAGTCTAATTGCTTAAGAACTGAAAGTGCGCCGCATGTCTGTGTCAATACTGCATTTAAAGTGCATGACAGGACACGTCACTCTTTTCGGCGTGCATGACGGTCATGTTACGCGCTTAAATGTGTGGAACAGCAACCACGTCATTGTTTATGACGAGTTACAGGGTGCAGTTGTGCAACACAAAAAAGTGCGTTACACGACTGTAGCACACTTCTTGGTGCATGACACGGTTGTGATATTTTCTCACGCACAGTTTTTCTTTCTTGACGAGGTGGTAATTGGGGCCGTACCTTTTACCAGGGGTACTTTCGCACTCTTTTAGCTGCGTCACTCCGTTGTCACATACGTTTGTTAGTAACTCTTTAAAATTATTATCGAAAGTGAAAAAGGAACTCTCCGGCGGGGAATCGAACCCCGGTCTCCCGCGTGACAGGCGGGGATACTGACCACTATACTACCGAAGATTGGTGAGAGAGGGCGTGGAGCGGTGCGCTTACAACGCACGCTGCGAGCCTGCGCGCCGCGCGCTGCGCAGTAGACGCCCGCCCGCGGGAGAGTGGAGGGGGGAAGGCCGGAGCAGCAGTGGGG